GAATGGATGAGGAAGCTGTGGTACATATACACCATGGAATATTACTCAGCCATTAAAAAGAATTCATTTGAATCAGTTCTAATGAGATGGATGAAACTGGAGCCCATTATACAGAGTGAAGTAAGCCAGAAAGATAAAGACCAATATAGCATACTAACACATATATATGGAATTTAGAAAGATGGTAATAACCCTATATGCAAAACAGAAAAAGAGACATAGATGTACAGGACAGACTTTTGGACTCTGTGGGAGAAGGCGAGGGTGGGATGTTTCGAGAGAACAGCATGAACATTATCTATAGTGAAACAGATCACCAGCCCAAGTGGGATGCATGAGACAAGTGCCCGGGCCTGGTGCATGGGGAAGACCCAGAGGAATCGGGTGGAGAGGGAGGTGGGAGGGGGGATCGCGATGGGGAATACATGTAACTCCATGGCTGATTCATGTCAATGTATGACAAAACCCACTGCAGTGTTGTGAAATGGTTGGCCTCCAACTAATAAAAATAAATGAAAAAAAAAAAAAGCTCACATCACCTATCTTCAACAATTTATATTTATACATCCTTTCATTTATGCCTTTACCCACTCACTCCACAAACATTCCAAGTACTGCTTACAATTTTTTTGAGGTAAGACTTATATACATTGAAATATATAGATCTTAACTATACAATTTTGACAAGTGGATACACTTTTTCATGGTATAGAGCATTTCCATCTCCCCAGAAAGTTCCCTTGTGTGCCTTCCCAGGCAATCTCCCCACTCAGAGGCAATCACTGCTTTGACCTTTTTTTAACCTTAAATTAGCTTTGCCTGTCTTAGAACTGGACACAAACAGGTGGCAGTAGTGGTAAAAAACCCTCCTGCCAATGCAGAAGACACAAGAGACATGGGTTCTATCCCTGGGTCAGGAAGATCTCCTGGAGGAAGGCATAGCAACCCACTCCGGTATTCTTGCCTAGAGAATTTCATGGACAGAGGAGCCAGGCAGGCTAAAGTCCACGAGGTCGCAAAGAGTCTACCTAACACAACTGAAGTGACTTAGCACACACGCACACAGATATGTGCTGCTCTGTGTCCAGCTTCTGTAGCTCAGCATAGTGTCTGAGAGATTCGTATATGCTGTTATATGTATCAGAAGTTCACTCCTTCTTACTGCTAAGTAATACTCTATGATTTCAGCACAACTCAGGTACCCATTCTCTTTTTGATATCCATTTGGGTTATTTCCAGTTTTTGGCTAGTTGTGAACAAAGCTGCTATGAGAGTCCTGAGGATGATGTATTTTCATTTCTCATTAGTAAATGCCTTGGAGAAGAACTGTTGACTAAAAAGGTAGGGACAACTGCCAAATCTTTCCCCATTGTTTGTCATTTTGTTGTTGAGCTGCAGGAGTTAATTTAAAGATAACACTTTCAATAAGCTTTAAAAAGAGAGCAACTTGAAACCTTAGCATACAAGGGCTCCCACTTGCCTCTGTGGTTGCCACTTTTTAGCTAATTTTATACTAAATTTGACTGCTGATAAAAGTTAATATAATACTATATACATGAAGAAGACTGCTAAGAGATCAGGTAGTAAGTCAAGTTAGATCAACTTTATTTAAATAAGGAATAACTGCCAACCAAAAAAGAAATGCTAATGAAATTCACTCTAGACAAGCATAAGGAATGCTAAGTAAAAAATAACACACTCCCCCAGGTGGCTCACTGGTAAAGAATTAGCCTGCTAATGCAGGAAACCTGAGTTTGATTCCTGGATTGGGAAGACCTCTTGGAAAAGGAAGTGGCAAGCCACTCCACTATATGTGCTGGGATAATCCCATGGACAGAGGAGCATGGTGGGCTATAGTCCATGGGGTCCATAAGAGGCTTGGACATGACTTAGCGACTAAACAAAGTAAAGGATAAAATTGAAACAAGCATTTTATGTAAGTAAAAAAAAAGTAAACTTTGGATATATTCTATAACCTAGATTATTAAATACCATTAAATTAAAATTTTCCTTTTAAAAAACATATATATCTCCATAACTGAGTTACTTTGTTGTACAGCAGAGATTGACACAACACTGTAAATCAATTATATTTCAGTAAGTAAATAAAATTCTCCTCTGTATTCTTACCTGTTTCATTGCTGTTTCACCTATTTTGTCAGAATGTTTTCGAATGCTTTCCAGAAAGTCTTTGAGATCAGACATGGAGATTTCTTTAATATCTTCACGGAGTTTAGGAAGATTTTCTATCATTAGCTGACAAAACCGGTACTGACTAACCCGGGGAAAATACACATTCTCTAATTGTTCCATAGTTTTTAGAGCTGAATAATACCTGTGAGAAGTTAAAACGAACATCTGTAAAAGTTCTTATTATATTTATTTTACAAGTAAGTCCAAATAATCATTCCAACACTTCCATCAAAAAGGATACTGTTATAGCTAAGGTAAATAAAATTAACATTTACTTCTATATACTAATGACAAACTATAAACCATATGAAAAAGCTACAGGAAGGAAATTCACTAACAAACAATTCTTTACCTCATTTCATCTAAATCTACAACATTACAAGCATTATCATAGTCATAATACACATATCATATTAAATTATATACATACATTAAGTAAATATATGGATAATAGCTCCAAATTTTTAATTAAATTATTTGATATATGATTTCATGATATCTCTGTCATCCATATCTCCTACCATCAAAAAAGTACATAGTACAGACTTAAATCAAATTAAAGTAAAACACATTTAAGGAAATTAGAGGTATCACCTCACACTGTCAGAATGACCATCATCAACAATTCTACAAACAATAAATGCTGTAGAGGGTGTGGATAAAAGGGAACCTTCCTACATTGTCAGTGGGTTTGTAAACTGGTACAGACACTATGGAGAACAGTACAGAGGTTCCTTTAAAAACGAAAAAGAGAGCTACCATATGATCCTGCAATCCCACTCCTGGGCATATATCCAGAGAAAACCATAACTTGAAAAGATACATGCACCCCAGTGTTCACGGTGGCACTATTCACAACAGCCAAGACGTGAAAGCAACCTAAATACTCATCAACAGAGGAATGGATAAAGAAAGTGTGGTACATATATAACATGGAATATTACTCAGCTATTAAAAGGATGAAATATGACATTTGCAGCAACATGGATGGACCCAGAGTGTGTCACACTGAGTCAAGTATGTCAGACAGAGAAGAGAAATATTGTAGGACATCCCTTATATGTGGAATCTAAAAAGAAATGATACAAATGAACTTATTTACAAAATAGAACAGATTATCCACAGACTTAGGTAACAAACTTACAGCTGCCAGGGGAGAAGGGTGGGGGTAAGGGATAGTTAGGGAGTTTGGGATTGACATGTATACACTGCTATATTTAAAATGGATAGGCAACAAGGTCCTACTATATATAGCACAGGGAACTCTGCTCAACCTTATAAGGCAGGATGGATGGGGGTGGGGAGTTTGGGGGAGAATGGATACATGTGCACATATGGCTAAGTCCCTTTGCTGAAACTATCACACCACTGTTAATCTGCTGGATTCCAATATGGCAAATAGATGGGGAAACAATGGAAACAGTGATGGACTTTATTTTCCTGGGCTCCAAAATCATTGCAGACAGTGACTGCAGCCATGAAATTAAAAGACGCTTGCTCCTTGGAAGAAAAGCTATGACAAACCTAGACAGCATATTAAAAAGCAGAAACACTGCCAACAAAGGTCTGTCTAGTCAAAGCTATGGTTTTTCCAGCAGTCATGTATGGATGTGAAATTTGGACCAGAAAGAAAGCTGAGTGCCAAAGAATTGATTCTTTTGAACTGTGGTGCTGGAGAAGATTCTTAAGAGTCCCTTGGACTGCAAGGAGACCAAACCATTCAATCCTAAAGAAAATCAATCCTGAATATTCATTGGAAGGACTGATACTGAAGTTGAAGCTCCAATACTTTGGCCATCTGATGCGAAGAACTGACTCATTAGAAAAGACCCCGATGCTGTGAAAGAATGAAGGTAGGAGGAGAAGGGGATGACAGAGGATAAGATGGCTGGATGGCATCACCAATTTGAAAGACATGAATTTGAACAAGCTCTGGGAGTTGATGATGGACAGGGAAGCCTGGCAAGCTGCAGTCCATGGGGTTGCAAAGAGTTGGACATGACTGAGTGGCTGAACTGAACTGAACTGATACCCCAATATAAAATAAAAGCTTTAAAAAAAAAAAGCATCAGAGATGTTACACTAGAGCTTAAGATTTGAGATTAAATTTGGGAGTCATCCATTCATAAATCCAGATATTTTTTCAACAAATGTGAAGTGACAGTAACTAATAAAAAACAATTTTCTTTTTTATATCTTGCTAGTCAAACCAAATACAACTGTGTGCTAGCTCGATTCTGTAGGTCACTTAATTTGCAACATCCAGTTGATCAGTAGGAATAACACCTGCCTGTACTCAGTATTTCACTATCCCATGTGGACACCTATACTTACAAAAACATACGGCAGGGCACCATAAGCCCCCAAAAAGAGAAGTAGGGACTAAATATCTAGTGAGATGGCAGACCGAATACATGTTTTCTGCTTCACTCCTTTTCGAAATACCAATAAAAAGATAATGAAGGGATTTCTTAAAAAAGCATAAACCCACACAGATGAAGAGAAAAGGAAAAGAGAGTATAATGAAATTTTAGAATCTGGAAAGTTGATGGACAAGTGGTAAAAAAAACTCAGCAGACCTGAGAAAATGAATTCTAACTCAACAGGGGAAAACCAAGAATAACCAAGAATAATTTATCTACAGAAACTCCAAAAAGTATAGAAGTGACAGGAATCTCACTATTTATGGAGGCAGAAGTGTCCAATAGGAGGGCTATTGTAAGGAATAGCCCTTACAAAACTCCCAGAGGAGGCCTAAAGTAAAGGAACACTGGTTAAAATGTGTTTAAGAAGTAGACCCTAGATACTCTTCCTGACAAGCATCTAAACAACTGCCTTTTTCCATCTTGGCAAAATGCTAAATGGAGCAAACCAAATAATTTCTAGAATGGGGGACACTACTCAAGGTTAAGGGCAATAATATGTTGTTGTTTAGTCTCTTAAGTCTTGTCTGACTCTTTTGCAACCTCATGGACTGTAGCCCACCAGGTTCCTCTGTACACTGGATTTCCCAGGCAAGAATACCGGAGAGGGTCACCATTTCCTTCTCCAGGGGATCGACTTGACCCAGGGGTTGAACCTGTGTCTCCTGCATTGCAGATTCTCTACCACTGAGCCACCTGGGAAAAGGATTAGTTGAGCCCATATATAGCAAATGCCCTCTTCTCCAACGCACATCTCAGAATACCAGAAGTCAAATCTTTACCCAGAGAAGAGACAGGAAAAGTCTCCTCTAGAAAATCTAACCAGTCCCAGAAGAAACAACTCCAGATTCTAACATCACAAACCCCCCAACTAAAAGGGCCCAGTTGGATAACCTTACAGTGAAACTCACAATAAACCAGTCCCACCCATATACCCAGAGATTCCAATCAGTTTTTTATGTCCACTGCACTAAGCTCAGCTGTAAAGAATTTGCCTGCAATGCAGGAGACTCAGGAGTTGCAGGTTCGATCCCTGGGTCAGGAAGACCCCCTGGAGGAGGAAATGGCAACCCACTCAAGTACTCTTGCCTAGAAAATCCCATGGACACAGAAGCCTGGCAGGCTACAGTCTATAGGATTGCACAGAGTTGGGCATGATTGAGCACTCACACACACCATGCACTAAATATGAGCACTCACCAGGGAATCACCAGACATCTACTTATTAGCTGCAAAGAGAAAAACATACCTTTTCTTAAGCCATCCCCTTAAGCAAATGATCAAATTTAGGATAATCTAGAGATAATCTGATAGCATATGACTTCTGCTGTCATACACAATATCATTTATGTTGTACTCTTACTGAAAACATTTAATCTGAATCTAAACATGAGAAAATAAACAAATCCAAAATGCCCTGGTCTAAAACTTATCTGAACTCTTTCATGAAAAACAAAGCAAAGTGGAAAGACTGTTCTAGATTACAGGGACAAAAAATACATAGAAGACATTTGGAGGACAACTGGGGAAATTTACATATAAGTATTAGATTATAAAGTATCTGAAGAAATACATAATGCCCCAAGCTTGAAAATAGTGAAGCAATAGTAAATTTAGTTATTTAAAGACATAAATGTAAACACCAAAATAATTTCTTAAAAAAGGGAAAAGTTTTTGACCCTAGGAAGAAGGACTAGTGAATGGCAAGAAGGGAAGGTGATGTCTGGTCTTTCTTTTTTTGCAACAAACACACAGAACTATTAACTATTATTTAAAATAGGAGGACATATAACTTTGATAGATAATACACAATATATTAATAACACATACATGAAATAAAAGACTCAGAATAGTTTGTGGGTCATGTATTAGGAAGGAAAAAAATCATTCTACTAATTAGTACCAATTGATAAAGTCCAATAAAATTCAATGCAAAGCATTACACAAAGCAGTACATATACAAATCTCTTGAGTATATATTTGCATATAATGTGCTGATAATTAAGTAGCTATTAATAAATAAGAAGTGATTATTTCCCTGTTTCAAGCATGTCTAATTTTTCTACACAATTTAAAATTGTTCATCTTTAGAACATTTTAAGCATAAATATATCTAATGCTCCTAAGTGATCCATAAACTACTTTAAATTATCTTTCATCTGTCATGTATTCCTGTGTATTATAAAACAGAACATGAACTACACAGTCTAGATTGTCAACATGTAACTAACTACCCACACTTTGCTTTCACAAAATACACACTTAGCCTTTGACTGTATGCAACATTAACATATTAAGTTAATCAATATTTTTTCATTCTTGTTCAGCTGTCTATTTGTCTTTCATCAATATTATCAATCTTTGATATGTAAGGGCAAGGATCCAAAAATAAATGTCTAAGGATTGCTGTACTGAAAGACCCTGATGGGCAAATTGCATTAACAAAGAACAGTTAAACATAGAAAGCAAAACTTCAGATGATTCACTATAATTTACAGTAATTTTATTTATGCTTTCAGTAATAGGAAAAAACCTCTTATTAAATACAGGAAAGAAACTCACCTTTTTGTACTCATCTGTTCTTTTAGCTTACTGTACATTTCCAGCACTGCATTAAAAAAGGAAAACTTATTTTAGCTATCTAAATAAAAAAATTTTGAAAGATGAAAATAAAGCAGGGAAGAGCATATTGTAAATTCAGTAATTTTCTCTGTACTTTGATTTAGGCTTATATTTTCAAATAAAATTTTATACTTCAAGTAAATGAAAGCATTTTAATTTCTGCATATATTGAACACTCTATTACATAAATTAATACATTATATAAAACTGGCAACACTTGCATAGGCTGACACCTAAAACTGAGACATCAACAATTATCCTAATCAAAAACTTACTAATATTTCTTGCTGCAGTGGAAGGAGAAGTGTGGTCTTAGTTACTTGAGAGAGAAAGTTGAGCAACAGTGAGATTAACTGATTTTGATTCAGTATACTAAATAAATAAGGTAACTGTACTATAGCTCATGAAACAAAATTTTATACCAAATTCAGAGAAAGAAAAATTTCAAAAGTTTACAGCAGAGAGTAAATTATAATAAAGGCATAAAGAAACATAACAAAGTATCTTTGTTTATCATTTCCATCAAAGGCTCAGAAATGTAATTATTCAATAAAATTGTTATAAGCTTCAGCAAGAAGACACACTGCCACCAAAAAGGCTTCAATGCAACTATGGAGATTAACACTCATCCTTAGTAGAATTCTGAAGTATAAAGCAGGTGAATTACTGTTAAGATCATTAAGTTGGCTCACATTTTCCAACAAGAGAGATAGACACATTTTTTTCCAGATTTTTTACACTCTTATGGCTACTCCCTAGGGGGTTTCAAGTTCACAAAAGATATTGTTTAATTGTCTGAAAACCATAAAAACTGCAGTGGTGGCTATAATGAACCAGCCCTAACTCTGCAGACCCCATGTATAGCTCTGTCAAAGTCCCTTTACTGCAATGCAATGTATCTCACATTTTCCATCCAAAGCATTAGAGTGAACACATAACTTAGGAAAGAGCCTAAAACTGCTGCTACAACTATAAACTTGCTTTGAAGTCTCCTGTTTTATCTCAACAATTCATGTAAATTTCACATCTATCTTATATTATTGCCATACTGTTTTCACATAAAAATAATACTTTCTCAAAAATAACTAACTACACCACCAGGAAAATTCATTGTTTACCCTGTGACTTCTTATATCCTCTCATACCCCTCTTAGTCTAAGGAGGAAGTTAGGCAATTATACAGTAATGGCTTATTTGTCTTTATTCACATTAAACTGTAGAATCCTTCAGAGCTGGGACTACATCATTTTCAACTTTATATTTCTAATATCTACCATGATGCCTGACACAGAAAAGTATGTATGAGTGAATAATTAGATAGAAGGATGGATGGAGGGAAAGAGGTGGTTCTGGATGTGGCTATTAAGAACACAATGTTTACATGAACTCAGATTTCCTGTTCAGCCTTGAGAGCAAAGACAGAAGCAGTAAAACACTCTTAACTTCTACTTCCCTTTATATCTCTATTTCAAACAGCTCATTAGGGTTGAATAAGCTGAATTTACTCTTCCTCATTCCATGAGAACCCAGTTTTTTTGTTTTTTTTTTTTAGAACCCAGTTTTTTTAGACTTACTACTTACAGTTCAAGGACAAAGCACTCAAACTTAAGAGGCTGTGTTCATGACTATTTCAGTGTATATGATGGTGGCAAAGAGGTATTATTAAGCATTATTATAAGGAACTAAGTTTCCAACCCTAAAAGCTAACACAATAAGTAGATATTTTATTTACTCAAAGTTAATGTGCACATATCCCTCATCCATCAGAAATTAATATGAGCAGAACTTCAGTGACCATAAAAAAAAACTTTATTCTTACAAGTCAGCCAATAATTTTTCTTTAGCTCATACAATATGCTAACAGATTATATAACTTGTAGTCTAAGCTAAATTTACATTATGTGAATATTATACAAAGCACCTAATTCTATCTCCCTGGATATGGAGGTTCAGGTTCCTTCCTTACAAAAAAAAAAGTTAAAAAATAGGACCTTGAGATGGATTTAGCTTACTATATTAAAAAAAAGAAGTCATATACCTGTTTCCTTTTTTTGAACAAGGTATATTCAGGTAAAGAAAATACTGGCTAGTTTATTCAGAATTTATTTGAAATGCCCCAGTAATATATGAGTCCTAACAGAGAGACCAGAAAACTCAGAAACTAGTAATTCAGTCTTCCCAAAACACAGGAGGAAAGGCAAGACTGAAAAAGGGAGAATATCTGGCAATTCTGTATGTTACCTTAATAGCAAAATGAAATTGTGCGCAAAGACCAACTGCTTAAGTGACAAAAAGAAAACAATGGAAAACTAGAGGTTTAAAAAAGTAGGCAGATTAGGAAAATGAAAGAAAATGGAATCAAAAGACACCCTCCATGGGAAAGTATTCTGGGGGGAAAAAGGAGGGGTTGGGGAGGGACAAAGGGCAAACTAGGCTGAAAGGAAATGGAAAGGTAGAGGTTGTTCTAGGAGACTGATGTGATAGATCATCAAATAGGGGCCTTGTAATAAGGAAAAAGATGAAAATTCAGGGAATAAAGTAGATAGGAAAGAAAACCATGGGCATTGGGGGAACAATCACCAAGTAATCTATAATTCCAATAATGAATAATTATTAAATACCATTAAATTACAATTTCACCAAGCTGAATGTTACATTACAGATGTTTAACTCACCTGGAAGGCATAACTGTAATTTTTCTACTACAGTTGTAATATTCCTCTGCTGAATTCTACATCGAATAATATCTTCTGTTTGGACTATCACCTTAAAGAGAAGAAATGCACATATTTAAAATGAACAGTTAAATTGCATCCACATATTGAATACACACAAAAATAAATCATTTTCTCACCTCCTTTCCAGCATCTTGAAATCTTCGGTTGGTATCAGTAACTTGCACCTTAAAAATAATTTCACCTTAGTTAGACAAATATGCATAAAACTGCCCTGATGTAACTGCTCACCCTTGTAATCAGATCATGCTTCATGAGAAACTTAGAACAAAGAAATGCAAATTCAAATTAACTCTACAGCTTGAACTTGAACTTTTGATTGAAAAGGGCTTTTGTTAACTTCAATTACTTATGACAGTTCTTTTTAACAGATTCTGTGGCAAACTTCTCAAATTTAATCTAGATTTTTGAACTTTACTTGCTTCTCTAAGTCTGTCAAACAATTCAAATCACTGACCCAATTGACCACTGGTCCCTTTTTGATAACTTCAATGAGGTCTATGTGCCATTCATTGTCTGTAGGAAATGGTGATTGCATTTTATGGTAATTAAACATTCATACTTTGCTGAATGCAAACACTGGGTGGTTGATTAACATCAAACACGGAAATCTCAATCCACAGCAACATTTTAATGCTGCAGGTGCAGGCAAAGCTCAACCTCAAATTTTCCCACATATTAAGTGACTCATTAGGTCATCATAGTAAGGAAGCACATTCTGGTTTATTAAAAATCTCATTAATTTCTGAACAAAGATGCTCAGTGACCTCATTGATGCCGTATTTGGTCTCTTGTTATCTGAATATCCTTTATATAATGGTTTTCTAATCATAACCTTTGGTGAACCAGGGTCGTTCTGTCTGCTAAGCTCTCCAAATGTAAAGAAAGATAAATAGGACAATTCTTATAACTAAATATTTTATATTCTTACAGAACAAATCCAGGTCTTATTTCATAAGTAACGTTTTTGCTGTGTGGCAGAAAATGTAGACCAACTTGCTTTAAGAAAATTACACACTGCTATAAAGCAAAGAAAAAAAAAAGTTTCACTATTATTATATAATTTTGAAAACACACTTATCATAAGTTTTTACAAGTTTTCAGAAAATAGTTTTTTATCAAAAAATTGTACTAATTGTCACTTGAGAACTCTAAAATTCCAAATGAGGTCTCTCACTGTGCGAATTTTTTTAGTTCATTTTTTGCAAGGAAAGAAATCCTGTTAAGTCAATGCATTACCAATAAAAAAAAAAAGAGAGAGATAACTCCTGTCATCAGTATGACAACTGTATTAATAAAGCATTCCCAAATATGTACACTAATCTACTTCTTAAAAACAGTACATTTAATAGTAATTTGTAAATATGCACTATAAATATTTAAGTGATTTGACAGCAAAAGTAAATAGAATTTTAACATACTTCTTACCTTAAGTTTCTCTGCATCAGTCCTTACTTTAAGGAGTTCTGTTATAGCATCTACAAAACCCTGGTGATGAAAATTACACATCTTTTCAATTTCCTTGTCATGATTACGGATACAAGCATCTAACTTTTCCATAAACTTCTTGTGTGCATTTGGTTGGTCATCATACACAGACCTGTACAGACACAAAAAGAAAACTATCATTAGAGCTGATATTTTAAAATAAAATCTCTGAACAAACAAACTAGGTTGTTAGTAATAACATCAGTAGAAACAGTTTGGATGAAAAATACTTAATTCTTTTTGAACATGTTAGTATTTAAAGAGCCACAAGTCCTTTAGATACATCACTAAGTATCTGGAATTAAAGGGCTGAGACTTAAGAGATGAGCCTTCAACACACTAAGTGCTCAAAAAAGAATCACTAACTGAATGATTAAGGAATGAATAAACAAACTTCTGATTTCTACAGCATTTATTATGTGTCAGGACATTTTCTGAGTGCTTTATATATTAACTCTTTAATCCTCACAACAAGCCTATAACATAGATACTGTTATTACCCTCATTAATTTACAGATAAGTTACAGATTATGCAAACTGTCATAAATTCCACAACTAGCAAGTGACAGCTAGTTGCTAGTTGTGGAATGAGCATGAATATGGGATCTGAATCCTTGTAACTGGCTCCAGAGTTCATATTCTTTTTTTTTCTATGTTTTGGCCATGCCTCATGACTTGTGGGCTTCCCTGATAGCTCAGTTGGTAAAGAATCTGCCTGCAATGCAGCAGACATCTGTTCGATTCCTGAGTCGGGAAGGTCTCCCCCTGGAGAAGGGATAGGCTACCCACTCCAGTATTGCTGGGCTTTCCTTGTGGTTCAGCTGGTAAAATATCCGCCTGCAATGCAGGAGACCTGGGTTCAATCCCTGGGTTGGAAAGATACCCTGGAGAAGGGAAAGGCTACCCACTTCAGTATTCTAACCTGGAGAATTCCATGGACTAGCCATGGGGTCGCAAAAAGTCAGACACGACTGAGTGACTTTCACATGACTTGTGGGATCTTAGCTCTCCAACCAGGTTTCAAACTGGTGTCTGCTGCCATGGAAGTATGGTATTTTAACCACTGGACCACCAGGGAAGTCTCCAGAGTCCATACTCTTAAGTACAAGGCCATACTGCAGTCACCACAATGTTCTCTAAACACTACGTTTACACTCCTACTGTATCTCAGGTCCTGCGGTCTCCACACCAAGGGACTTCCCCATCCACTGTGCAGAAAAGGATTAACCTTGCCCAAAGAAACATTTGGGTCTTTCTCTCAACTCCTGGGCAGTTTAGTCTTCAGAATGTCCTGCCTGATAGATGCCTCTGTTTACGTGGACAATGCAAAATGGTCTAAGTGCTGGGAAAGATCGAAGGCAAAAGGAGAAGGGGGTGGCAGAGGATGAGATGATTAGATAGTATCACCAACCAATGGACATGAATTTGAGCAAACTTCGGGAGACAGTGGAGGACAGAGGAGGCTGGCATGCTTCAGTCCATGGGGTTGCAAAGAGTCGAAAATGGTTTAGCAACTGAACAACAACAATATGACCTACAATGTGATTTACAGTTAATGGGGACAAGGGGCCACATGGAATCAGTTCTGGAGGGGCTGAAGACTAAGGTCAGCAAATCAAGCAGTCGGTCGTGTCTATGGAATCAACCCCCAGGAAAAACCCTGGACACATGGCTTGGGAGAGCTTCTCTGGTTAATACTACTCCATATGTGTTACCACACATCATCACTGGGGGAAATAAGTGCTGGCCACATGACTCCGGGAGGAAAAGACAACTGGAAGCTCCTCGCTGGAACTCTCCTAGACCCCGACTTACCTGCCTTTGCTTGTTGTTAATTTTAATCTATATCCTTTTGTTGTAGGAAATAGTAACCGTGAGTGTAACAGCTTTGCAAAATTCTGTGAGTCCTCCTAGAAAATTAATGAACCTGAAAGCAATCTTGAGGACCTTCCAAAAATGTGCCCCCCATCTGCTGCCCATTGTTGAGGTTCAGTTCAAGTCCCATTTCCTCCAGCAGGCCTTTTGCAATTATTTCCATGCCAAGTAAAGAACTGAGCTAGAACTAGGCTCTGATCTTGGATATCTTCTCTTTTCTACTATACCAGTCTAAATCTCTTCTAGGCTTGGAGCTTTAAATTCTATAAACATGGAAAGTGAAAGTGAAAGTTGCTCAGTCCTGTCAGACTCTCTGCGACCCCATGGACTATACAGTCCACGGAATTCTCCAGACCAGAATACTGGAGTGGGTAGCCTTTCCCTTCTCCAGGGCATCTTCCCAATCCAGGGATTGAACCCAGGTCTCCCAGATTGCTGGCATATTCTTTACCAGCTGAGCCACAAGGGAAGCCCAAGAATACTGGAGTGGGTAGCCTATCACTTCTCTAGGGGCTCTTCCCAACCCAGGAATCCAACTGGGGTCTCCTGCACTGCAGGCATATTCTTTACCAACTGAGCTATCAGGGAAGCCCAAACACTATATAAACACTGACATCTCCCAAATTTGTATTTCTGGTCCTGACCTTTCCTTTGACTTTCATACTCATGCATCTCTCCAACTGGATGTATGATAAGCATCTCAAGTATGGCCAAAATGAATTCCTATCTTCTTTCCCAAACCCTGGTCCTCCCATGGCCTTCCCTCATCTTAGTAAACTCCATTCTTTTAGTTGTTGAGGCAAAAAACCTTGAAATCACTCTTGACTATTCTTCCTCTCACCTCCCCACTAAAACAATCCAACCACATCTCACCGCTTCCCCACTGGTATCACCCTGGACTAAGCCATCAATGTGTGCTCCCTACATTATTCCAAACAGCTTCCTAACTGGTCTCCTTGATTCCACCCTTATTTCCCTTCAGTCTGTACTCAACAAAGTAGACAAAATAATCCCACTAAATTTAAAGGCAAACCCCATATCTTTCTTCTGCTCAAAACCTTTTTTCTTACAGCAGCCTATAAAGCCCTATGTAACCCTGCCCCATGTTACCACAGTGACCTCATTTCCTAATACTTATTCCATGCCAGCAGCACTGGCCTCCTGTGGTTCCTGAAACACATCAAGCACACTGCTGTCCTATCATTTGCATGTGCTGTTTCCTCTTTTGATCACATTTCCACACATGGCTGCCGCCCTCACCTCCTTCAGGTTTTCTGGTCTCCTTGATGAAGCCCTTTCTGGCCACAATATCCAAATTATAAACACACACACACATACACACACTATTCCCTTTCCTGCTTTATTTTTTTTTCTAAAATAAAGGAATTCACTTTGCTACTGCATCACTCTTACCACTATTTAATATACTCTTTACTTCACACGTGTAGTTCTTATTTTTGCTCACTGGAATGTAAGCTCCAGGAAGGCAGACAGTTTTTGTCTGTTTTGTTCCCTGCTATACAACCAGCCCTAAAATAGAGTCCCTGATGTAGCAGATGCTGAATAAAGAACTGATAGATAGACAGATGGACGAATGGATAGATGGAATTAAAAACATCACTTAGTAGCTGTTCAACCTCAGATAAGCCACACAAATTCTCTGAATCCAAATTCTCTCAAAAATAAAACAGGGATTAAAAAAGTATCTACATCAGAGAGTTATAAGGATTAAATTAGCAAACATATGAAAAATTCTTAGCACAATAACCGACACACAGCAAGTACTCAAAATACACTGGCTATGATCACAGAACGCACATAAGAGTCAAACAAATCCTTGTTAAATAAGTGAACCATCTGCCGAACAATTAAGTATGGATAACAAATATCAAATACCTAACACTCAAATTATCCATGCTGTAGGGGCTGACTACCAGTAACACCTGGCAATTGTAGAGGGACTTTTGTAATTTTTACATGTAATGTTTCATTTGTTTCTTACAACATACCACAGAAGATATCATTGCCTCCTTTTCACAAATGAGGAAGTAGGCCCAGAAATACTAAATGACTTGCTCAACGTCACTCCCATCTCATGCTTTTCCTACAATTAATACACATAGCTAACAAGAACTCTTAATTAAACTAACAACATTATCCCAAAGAAAAATTCGCATTAGCTGACCTGTGTGCATGCTAAGCTGCTTCAGTACTGTCCAACTCTTTGCAACCCTATGGACTGTAGCTCACCAGGTTCCTCTGTCCATGGGATTCTCCAGGCAAGAATACTGGAGGGGGCTGCTGTGCCCTCCTCCAGGGGATCTTCCCCATCCAGGAAGCAAATCCAAACCCAAGTCTCTTACATCTCCTGCATTGGCAGGTGGGTTCATTACCACTAGGGCCACCTGAGAAGCCCCTAACTGACCTTGGTAAGCTATAACCAAATTTTTATTTTGTAATTGTGAACAGGTGTTACATTTCTTTAAGTAATATATATATATATATATATAAAGCTTTTCTAAGATTATTTTTTACGTATTTTAATAAAAGCTTGATATTTATCTGACTCAAAATACCAGATAATAACAGCATTGAAACATGTATATTATCTAGGGTGAAACAGATCACCAGCCCAGGTTGGGTGCATGAGACAAGTGCTTGGGCCTGGTGCACTGGGAAGACCCAGAGGGATCGGGTGGAGAGGGAGGTGGGAGGGGGGACCGGGATGGGGAATACATGTAAATCCATGGCTAATTCATTTCAACGTATGACAAAAACTACTGTAATGATGTAAAATAATTAGCCTCCAACTAATAAAAATAAATGGAAAAAAAAAATAAAAAAGTAAAAAAGAAAAAAAAAAAATACCAGATAATAAACAGAAAGTACAGAAAAAACTGGCTCTTCCCCTGGCCCTCCCCACCCACCCACCCCCCAATTACTGCTGTAGCATTGTAGCAAAAAACTAGCAAGAGACATTTGAGGACTGCCCTGCTACAAGGTCCCTCCAAAGGAAAGTTTGACTCCTTTTGTGAGTGCAAGGGTGATACTGTTATCTCTTTAAAAATGACAATAATATATAAACAGAAGGAAGAGAAACAATGGTTATTTCCCAGAAGTCTATTTTATTTTAGAAAGTTCTTTAAAGGTACCCTTTAGTGTATCTTTTCAATTTAATCTCTAGAGTTTTAAAAACAAAACTACTCTCATTTTATAGTAATTCAGGACACTACCTGT